CCCCCCCCAAGCCACGTTCTGAAAAGCGTCCAGGCCTCCCGGAGTTTGAGCGAGCCACGTTTTCTTTCACCCGCTTCTCCGACCAGCCCCGGGGCTACCGTTCCCCTTCCCCCGCGACCCTCCGCCTACCGGACCCGACGAAAAAGAGGAGCAGCCGAACTCCTCCGGGGACCTGCAAGATGGCGCCCAAAGGCCGAAAAGAAAGAAGGCGGCGCTTCGCGAAATCTCCGCGCCTTCCTTCCGGTTTAGCGCGGGCTGGGGGGGGGGCTGATCTGATCCGCTCCTCCTAAAAGTGCCCGATTGAAAAAATGGTCAGCGGTCGCCGAAGGGCCTGGGCTTGAAAAACGGACAATGTTCGCACAGCCAGTGAAAGAAAATAGGAAGAAGGCAAACATTTAAGTCGCCACGAAATAAATGCTCTGGGTTTCCTTAGAATATTCAGGGGTAGGCAACCTTGGCTCTTTTATGACTCGTGGACTTCAACTCCCAGAATTCCTGAGCCAGCCATGCTGGCTCAGGAATTCTGGGAATTGAAGTCCACGAGTCATAAAAGAGCCAAGGTTGCCTACCCCTGCCTTAGATGTTACGATACTGAACTGGAGCAGGCACTGCTTTAGACAGCTTTCTAGGAGGGCACTCATGAGGCTAAGAAAGAAAAGCGGGGTGTTTGTACTATTCGTAGTGCGGTAGGTGGAGTTTTGGGGACAAGCCGAGGGAGTGTGAATGCGAGCAGTTCTGTAGTTTATTTCTTGCGTACAGGATTAAGGTTGACGATCTCCGAGGGTTACATAAGCCAGCACTTGAATGATTCACCCAGCATAATTAGCTCTAAACCAATGTCTATGGAGATTCTCAATCACCCAGGTCGCGGTTGTCCCAAAGGTGATTTTTCAAAAGGCAACTGGAATTTTTTTCTTGAAGACGTTTCGCTTCTCATCCAAAAAGCTGCTTCAGTTCTGGCTGGAAATGGATGGATTTTATTTTTTGCAATCATCTAGTCATTAGCTCTCTGAGACATCGAGGTCACTTGGGGGGTTTACCTGTACCCGCAGGGTCACCTGAGTCAGATAAATCAGTGCAAATACAGATAACCCCCCCAAGTGGCCTCAACGACCCTCAGCTAATGACCAGATGACTGCAAAAAATAAATTCTTCCATTCCCCACTATTCAGTCAGAACTGAAGAAAGCTTGGATGAGAAGAGAAACATCTTAAAGAAAAAAACAAAGAAAGTTCAGTTGCCTTTTTGAAAAGCACCTTTGGGATAGTTAAACCATAGCCTGCAAATTACAATAGTTATATTCATCAATATGCTATGCCAAAATCAAGTATGGTTTACTCTAATGTGTGAATCCAGCTTAATACAATATAGTATGGATTTTTAGGAATTGAAAATTGCAGTTATGGATTGAAAGTTGGAGGTTTTCTTCAACACACACAATGTAGTTTTATTTTTGGCTTAGCATAAACCAACCACTAATTTATATACCATGGTTTCTGATTACACTGAATCCCAAGTGCACATTTTACAGCAAGTTTGGGCAGAAATTCAATTCAGATTTAGCAGTAGGTATAGTGTTTAGGTAGATGCTAAATAATTTCAAATAATTTGATATCATGAACAGACTTCTAGTTGAAAAATAAGTGTCAGGAGACTTCGCTTTTCAAAATTAAGCAGAGGACAATATTTCAGATTTGTATTTGTAAATGCCTGTCATAATTACACAACTGAGAATGTTCCACAAAAAAAAATAAGACCCTAACAATATCCTGATATTTTGCAACCTTATAAATCTTGAGTAATTTATTAAGACTTTGTTCATTTCATTGCATCCACATCTTACCTTATTAATGAAAGCTATTATGCAGATTCATATATAATGCTAAAGTATAGACCACGTTAAAAAAAAGCAAACAGGATTCACATAACAGGAAGCTGAAACAAAACAGGCCATGCTATAGCAATGTACAAGTCATTCACTGCCTTGAAATACTTTTTAAAAATTGTAGATATGTCTTAATTCTCTTTATGTACCTAAACAAAAGGATATATTATCCAATGAAGCTTTCTCCCAGTTCAGTGAACATGGGAATATATAGCCTATTCTTTCCATGTCTAATATTAAGGTATTTAATAAATTAACAGCTTTATCTGACTAAACAACTCAGTGGTCATATGATTTTGGAAAATTCAAGTTGGTTTTATAGCAAGCTCATGAGCATATCTTTAATGCGGGCTGGACTTGATTAAAATGCACACTGTAAATTTGTATTTTATGAATTGCTTGTACAATTGAATAACACCCCAATTTAATTGTTGTCCATAGTTTTCCATTCTGTAGAAAAATAAAAGGAATACATTTATCCATATTTGTATTACATAGGTTATTTAGGAAGGAGAACTTATTACTTCATTCAAACCTATACCCAAAGCCAAAAAAGCTAAAAAAAAATTCATGTCTTTCAGCCAGTTCCAAAATCCTTGAAAAAAAACATGTTAATAACATTCCATGTTAAACTTTTTTTTTGGACTCTCTAAAATATTTTAGAGAGCTATTTGGTATTTGCACAAGCAATACTTGGTTCCTTCCAATCAGTGTTTTGATGGTCTTTCATTTAGTTTAACAGTAGCATTTCTGATACAGATATGTAAAGAAGACTCAAACAGATGGAATCTGTTCATCAGGGTGTATTCATAACCAATAGAGATTTTTATCCTTGGATATAGCCAGATGGGAAGTTTAAATTAGCTGACCATCTGCAAGTAATTAGGAACAAAACTATAGCAGATTTTTTTTGAGAGGAAATTGTATAGTATAATAGAGTGAGAAAGGAAGCCAATCAAAATTAGCCTTCCACTTTTCTTGATAAGGAAGACAGCATTGCTTAAAAATTTATTGTAGCACAAACATAATAATGGCTGAACAATCAGCAGAGAACAAGCTCCTTCTAATTAACATGTTTTGTGTTACAGGAAAAATTATGCCAAACAAATGCACTGCATCCAAGTAGGAAATTTTACTGAATATATAGCACAATCCTCTGAATATTCCAAAGTAATTAAAATAACATATAAGGTTTTGTGGGGAGGGTGAACACATATGTGCACACGAACACCCGTTGCTTGTTCGAGTGGGGGCCTGAGCGCCCGAGACACTTGCACGAGTGGGGCCACAAACGCAACGCTTGTGGCGATGCTCGCGCAAGTGGGGCTGTGAACACCTGTGATGCTTGTGTGAGTGGTGCTGTGTATGCATCTTCACACGCTGTACTGGCCAGCTACTCACACAGCTTGTGGCCAATAGGCTGTGACCCAGTAGTGAGCCACGGCCTACAGGTTGGGGACCCCTGGCTTACAGGACATCTAGGATGTAAGGAGCAATATAAATTAACATTAGTTGCAATAGTAATATTCAATTACTGGCACTTCCATATAAATTTAAATAATCCATAGTACTTTAAATTAATTAGATGCTCTCAATTTGAGTTGACACTTAATGATTGTATGGGCAAAAACCCTCTATACTTGTTGGTTTTTTCAAAGACATTTAAGCAATCTTTTGAATCTGTCCTCCATCTTATCAATCAACCTCCTCTTGTATTTCTACATAAATGTAGATTTCAAGAAAATTACTAAGACTACCATAGATTGGAAAAAAGGTAAGATTAAACCAACCATTTGGATTGTGGTTATTAGTATATATTTGTTGATAATCACAATCCAAATGGTTGGTTCAATCTTACCTTTTTTTTCAATCTATGATAGTCTTAGTAATTTTCTTGAAATCTACATTTAAAGATATCTCCTTTGTCTTGCTGTTTTCAGTGAGCAATATTCACAATTATATATTAACACTGGAAAAACAACTGGATGTTTGTTGTCATTGAAATATTCATGATCTTGTCTAAAATTATTATTACAGGTAGTTCTCGACTTACAACAGTTCATTTAGTGATGGTTCAAACTTACAACAGCACTAAAAAGTGACTTAGGACCAGAAACAGAATAAGGACCATTTTTCACACTTATGACTGCTGTAGCATCCCCATGGTCATGTGATCAAAATTCAGAAGTTTGGCAACTGGTTCATATTTATGATAGTCACAGTGTCCCAGGCTCATGAGATCACCTTTGGCAACTTTGAGAAGCAAAATCAACGAGGAAACCAGATTCACTTAACAATTGTTACTAATTTAACAAGTACAATGATTTACTTAACAACTGTTGCAAGAAAGGTCGTAAAATGGGGTAAAATTCATTTATCAACTGTCTCACTTAGCAACAGAAATTTTGGGCTCAATTGAGGTCGTAAGTCAAGGACCACCTGTACTTTTTCCTCTATGATTAATCTTTTCATTTGTTCAGCATACTGCTCAGCTTTCTATTCTTAAACCTCAAAACCAAAATTATTGCTATCCACTATAGATTCACTAACCACTTGGGATGACAATATCTTTGTTTTCATCATGTCTTTAATATTAACATTTTCACTTCCATAGTGATTTATCTAAAAACTTTACTTTTGGCTAACAAATGCTATTATCTACATATTTCAAGGTGTCATTAAATAATGCCACTATTCTATTCATATTCTATAATATTATATTACAGGGTATATTCATTATCACATTTCAATTATGTCTTTTTTGGAAACCTGTCTGTTCATTTCACATTCCTATTTCCATATATGCTTCTATGATTCTTTATAAGATGCTAAGGAAAACTTCCCTTTCTCTAAAATTCTATTCAAGAGAAATTATTGTAATAATTTACAATTATTTGATGATTTGTACATTCCGCACTCTGTTTTTATTTGAAGAAATACTCTTTCCCTACTTTTAGGATATCCTGCCTTTTCTACATTATAAGGAACAAATAACAAAAATATATCTGTTGATAATTTTTTTTTGCAAGTTTAAAATTTAGAAGATATCTTTACTTGATGCTTTTTCATTTGAGCCTAATCACAATTCATAAATCAAACCAAATAAACCAAACCCTCCTCATGCAGAGATTATACTGGATTAAGAAACATGAAATATAAATAAATCCTACCCATCTGATCCCATGCTAATGTTTTGCAGCTGAGCTAATTAATTTAGCTGCAATTCATTGACAATTTTGGACAGGCCATTTTCTTATGGTGGGATCCTCCCAGGCTGGTTTTATTCCTACAGATTAAGCTCTTGAAAAATAATTTCAGCTGTTTTAGATTGAAAGAGGAGC